AAGGAAGCATCGGTGGGATGGAGGAGGAGGTGGAGGAGGAGGTGTTTCTCTGCCTTCCGACCCTTAAACACGAGTCTCGGAGCGGAGCAGTGCTGGAGCTAGCCCCTTCCATGTGTGACTTCTACTGGGTTGCTCTAGAAATAGTAATAAATCCCCATGGTTCGTAATAAAATAATTTTCCATCGGCGGTATGATGTTAAAACAGATAATTACTAATAAGAAGATCAGGCTGGGATAGCTTTGACAAGGGTGCGCTATGCTTTGACAAATATTTTGGTTCTGATATTGTAATCTCTTTAAAAGAAGTTATCAGAAAATACATTGCCCATGTTACTGGTCTCCTCTCCAGATCTCCCTTTTCAATTATTTAAGTATTTTCCAGGAAGAATTTCCCTGTTTCACACAGTGTGCTGCAATTCTTTGGAGATGAAAACCAAAGCAGCTTTCAAACTATCTAAGCATACCATTTCAGTTGTTTAATCTGGAGTTACACCACTGTCAACCGTAAGATTGTCTCTCAGTTTTGAGACTGAGCAGTTTGTCTTGAAGAAGCTTCATAGAAGTAAACTTGGATTCTGGGCTTGTTTTGAGACTTCAAATAAATCACTATCTGTGGTGTAACTGTGTAAAATTCACTCGGTAGGCAGGTGGCCGAAGAGTTTGATCCTGCATAATCTTACAGATGCGATTAAGTCTCTGCGTGGATGGATAGTACTAGTGGGACAAACCGTGCAAAGCTAAGCACTTCTGGTCGTGATTGTAGAGGCTGATATAATGCGGGGGGGTTGGGGACGGACGGACTGAGAAATCTTTACATGAAGGCCATAGTGGAAATGCAGAATTCTTTATCATGTCTCTCTACGGGTAGAGAAAGGGAAGGGGAATACAAGCTGTCTGAAATCTGTATTGTAAGGTTTTTAGACCCATGTATAAATTTGGAATCCAGGGATCATAAGACCAGATTCTTCATCTTGCATTGGTCTGGAGATGTGGCTGAATCTTGGGGTTGTGGGCGGAGAAGTTGGATGCTACTTCATCCTCTTCTCTCAGCTGTTTGGGTTGAATTTAGAGGAACAAGATAGAGGGTGATGGCCTCTGGGTCTGATTCAGAATCCAGTGAAAATGTCAGACTCCCACAAACTTGAATGTGCTTTGATCCAGGCAAAACCGGTTGCTAACTTCCCCCTAGATTTTAAACCAGCATGTGATATCAATACTGGAAGAATGCACTGTAGTATCTGTTGGCTTCGGTTGGAATTCAAAGTACTGGCTTTAACCTGCAAAATTTTGAATGTTCTGGAGTTGCTAGTGTGAGACATCATCTCTTTTCTCTGTCACATTGCCATCCATGAGATCACCAGAGATGCTTGGAGCTGGCGAGCGCTCAGCATGAACCAGATGTCTACTGAGAACCTGCCTCTGTGAAAAAAAAAAAAATGGAAAAAACCCCTGGAATTAGCCCCTTGTCTTGATCTCTTTGTGCCCGGCTCTGTCAAACTTTCTTCCAATTTACAAAGCCTGCCAAGAAAGTTGTGAGCTGAGGTGGGCATGTTTATGTCTTTTGTATGTTTTGTGACTTTTTTACGTGACTTTTTTAATTAGGAGATGAGTCACCTAGCGTGTTAGCTGCACCAGCCTTTAGCCATAAGGGAATAAAGATGGAAGCAAATAAATCTTAGAACAAAAAGGACTTGCATTTTAGTGCGGTCAGGAATATTAGTGACTGGGGTAGCTGGATCTGTTTTAAATAGTAAGAAGTATAAACTGGGGGGATATTACACATTTATAGTGTGTATAGAGACATATATAGTGCAGACACTCAGATTCTTGGATTCCTAATCTAAAATTCTAACAGGCCCAGAAATGTCACCTGTGCAAATAGCTGTATAGCATGTATGAATTGCTTTTTTTTTTTAAAAAAAAAAAAAGTCATTTTACTTGAGTCTGATAGAAAGAGTCCATTGACTCCCAGGAATCCATTTACCACAGCGTGACAGCCACAGATATAGATTATTTTAGATGCTTTTAAAGAAGAAAAACGGAAGATTTTCCAGTTAGCTCGTAGATGTCAGGGTCATGATCCTATTCATGATTTTAAAAAAGGCAAGAAAGTGTTTTGCTGATAAAAGTGGTGATATTTCATTGGCCTTTTTAATTACCGATAGTTTAAAAGCTACAAAAATAGTTTAGATCTTATTTTTTCCTTCATTTCTTTCTATTTGTGTGGATTTACAGCTTCAGTTGTCAAAGTTCTGGTCTGGTGAGAACTTAAATTCACATGCATATTTTACATTTGTGAATAAAACAACTGAATTCCTTACTTGTATACTCTTCTCTTCTTGGCTTTTCATATCTTGTACACTCTCTTCTCTTGGCTTTTCACATTTTTTTAAACTTTGCTAGCAGCAGGCAAATGTAATGTTGCCCCTTAATAATTAAGGCTTTGTGAATTTAAAACAAAAGTCTTTGTGATATTTTTAATTTAATATTTGGGACTTAGTAGCTTTTTAAAATTTAAATATAATTTAAAAGGGGGTTTTGATGAATGTATGTAAATAGACTCCATGGAAGTTGTTAATCCAGACAGTTGCAGTCCTGTGTTAACATACTGTGAGCAGAGGTAGAAAGTGAATTGATTAATCTACCTTCTTTCCACTTCGTAGAGTGAAGTATAGAAAGCAAGCGTAAGGTATAAATGACTTCTTAGAAAATGACTGAGTCTGTTTTTAGTGCAGTGCATGGCCCGCCAGTTGATATTTTTCATCTTAATTGACAAAACTTGAATTTAAAAGCTAAAGTTTCACCACCTGAGCATTGCTGTGCTGCCAGATGCCCAGACTTCAGAGATGCAAAATCTCCTATTGCAATCCCTGAAGAACCATCGAATCCCTCCTCAAAAGAAGAGAAACCCTCATGCCAAGGTGGCCACACTCTATTCAATCATTTACGTTTCTAATCCCACATTTTAAAGCTGGCATTTTTATTCACTTCTCTTCTTATTCAAAGCTTCAGCTGCTCTTGTGCCTTGTTAAATGTTTGCCACTCTCCATACAAGAGGTGACTGCATCTCAATGATGCTGAAGTGCCCCTGTACATAACCTGCTTACTGGCTCATTAAGCTTGCAAAGCATTTGGGATTTCTCAGTACACAAACGCTTCCATTCAGGTATGGTTGTCCATTCCCTCGCGTTTCCTGTTTGCCTTTAGCAAGACAAAAAGCAGGTGAGAGCATGCCCCAGAGGTGCTGCGGTGCACACAGACAGCTTCCTCCACTGATCTGTGCCAAGCAGCCACAGAAGGTGTGGGCTGCACCTTGTTTGGTTGTTTAGGCTGGTTTCTTAAGGAAATAAAATTTGTGTTCCTGCAGGGATTCTCTCCCTTTCCACCCCAAGTAATTTACAAATTTGCTAGCCAATTTCAGGAAAGTATTGCCAGTAGGACTGAGTTTTAAAGAAACTGATTTTCTGGATTTTTTAATGGAAATGGGTGGTGGTTAGAAAAGTGATTCTACACGTGTCCTAAATTGGAGAGAGCAGCTATGGCATCCTCTCAACCCTTGTGATCAGAAAACTTTGTCTGAAGAAAATCTGCCGCTTAATACTCTGACATGGGGAAGTTTCAACAAACGCACACAGCTGTGAAACACAGATTCATAGGAAATCAGGTTTTGTTCTGGTGTGTAGGAAACTACGTGCTTGAAACTACATGCTTAAAACTAAGGGGGAAAAGGCAATTTTCAGGGGGGGTTTGCTCTGTTGGTAACTGTCATCAGTAACTCATCCTCGTATTTTGCTTTCAGTACTGCCTGTCAGGACATCCAACCTTACCATGCAATGTACTCAAGTTCAAATCCACCACCATCATGTTGGATTGCGGACTGGATATGACGTCTACTCTCAATTTCCTCCCATTGCCGCTGGTTCAGAGGTATGTTCTGCGGCCTGTAAGCACTTAGTCTGTGTCTTCTTGGGTTGCAGTCGGAGTGCTCTGCGTGAAACGGTCTATTGGAAGGAGGGAGGGGATGAGTACAAATGAACAGCATCATCTGATATCATAAATAGACTTTGTTCACTTAAAAATTCTCTTTATCAAAATAACGTCCTTTGGCTCAGTAGACGGAAGACATTTTATGGATTTATTGATTGGTTTTTCTAGATAATTTATTCTAAGCTTCAGTAAAGTATTGCTGCAACTGCTCAGCACAAGTGAGGTCACATATCTGTCATCTTTCTGGCTTCTCCATACAAGATGAGATAAATGGGTAACTGAGATGGAGTGCATGAAGCCCAGCAAGTACTGTTTAACCACCATCTTCTCAGGCTTTTCTTGGGAGCAAAGACTAATGCAAAGAAAAATAGCACTTAACAGTCCTCGTTAGTTGACTTGATGGCATAATTGTTCCCTTTTAAAAATTAAATAAATAAAAGGGCAGTGCAGCTGGGCACAGGAATGGAATGGCAGTGAAACAAAAGTAGAGAGAATCCTGAGATCAAGACTCTCCCTTCTATGCCCTAACGAAAAAGTCATGTTTTCCCAGGGTTTTTTTAGATAAATTTGGATAATTCAGTTAGGGTGGCTTATGTCTTGCATAAATGGAACAAATTACAAAACTGAGGGTTTGGAAAGGTGAGAATGAACAACAACTGGTGATGGGAAACAGTAGGAGTTTTCACAAAAGCCATTTAGTAAATTTGATCCACGAGGAAACAGGTGAGGAATGTTCTGGGTTCAGGGAAGGCTTGATTGAGAGGGGGAGAATATGATTGGGAAACCAAGTTTCTTAAGTGACCTAATGAGATTAAAGGAGTTTGTCCAGCACTTCCTATAATTTGTTATTTTTTGGAGAGGAGAAGAATAGACAATGTATGCATTGTTCTGCAAGAATGTGGAGTTCAAGATCTGCTGTAGAGTAGGCAACAGGTGCCTTAAGACAGATCAGTGTGATAGTTGATTTTTTTCCCATTCCATAATATTATTGCTAATTACAGTATTTAGGGGCAGTTGTAGATTTTGAAGGGATCCAGAAAATTTGAGAAATCCAGGTAGAGAGAGAATTGCCTTGCTTAGCTTCCTCCCACCTCCCCCCCCCCCCCCCCAAAGAAAAAGGAAATTGGGAGAGGAATAAGTAGCAAAATTAGGTGATTGAAGAAAGGCTTAAGAGGTTCTTTAGAACTGCAGACATCAACGCTCCCCGGGGATATGCCAGCTTTGTCTGCTGATAGCAGACCCTGGGAATGAACAGCCAAATTGCAGGTCACAACCTGGAATTCCCCAAGTACCTCCAGAATGTCTGCACTAAAATGACTCAAACTCAATAAGAAAGAATGTCAGATTTGACCCCTGATGGCCTAGTGGAATCGGAGCAAACAGTTGGATTTAAATCCAATCAATCTTGTCGTAGGGTGATTGAACACCCCTTACAGCAAGGATTGTCCTAAGCACATGGACTTGGGCAAGTAATTGATCTCTTCAGTACTCTACAAAACAGGCATCCTGCAGGGAGTTGTGGAAACGAGTTAGAAACTTGAGGAGGAATGTGACTGCCACTAAAAGTCCTTATCTCTATATAGTATTCATAGTTGTACCATTATATATCAGGTCTCCGTTACCAGGATGTCTAAATACCTGTGAAACTCAAATGTGTATTATCAGCATAACACGGCGGGGTGATAGGGAGCTGACATTATCATCAGCTTCCAGGTGAGAGACTGCAGGAGGGACTGACTGCCTGAGGTCTTGCGTGAAGCATGTAGCAGCGCATGAATTTGAACATAGGTCTGTCAGATCTTAGGTTATTACCAGCTGTATGTTCTCTCAGAACAGGAGTGCTGCTTCTTGCAGCCAGGCTGAGACAGACCCACGTGAAACCTTGACCAGAGAGGAGCTATGCTGTCTTTAAACCAGAGGTCCCCAAAGTAGGATCCATGAACCACTTAGGCTCTGTAAGTCTCAGTATGTGGTCTGCAAAGGTGCCATAATTTTTACCTCTGTGGAGCATAAAGGTGTGATATTAGAGAGGATCTTTGCTATGCAGCTAGAGCCCGCGTCGTACCTGGCATGGAATCCTCCTTGAGCAAACATTTTGAGAGCCTGCACTTTAATCTATAAGAGAGGAAAGTGCTGTAGTGTTTGTGTCATTAAAGGGTCTGGACATTTTTTAGAGTTCTTTGCTCTTCAAAAAAAGCCCTTGAAAAAGTATTTAGATTCCACCTTGTCCCAGAAATGGCAGTCCTTGTTCTCACCAGCCCATGGAACATGCGCAAAGTACTTGCAGTTGCCAAACACTTTATGCCAGTTCATGTACTGTAAAGGAGGTTTGTCAACTGGAATTTTCTCCCCTGTACCAAAGTCAAATGCAAAACGGTAAAATGAACATGTGGGAAGCTCTTAACCTTTCCTGTCTAGCCATGACACGCTTGCTCACATTATTTATGGGACAGTTCTACCTATTTTGGATTAATCAATCACTCTATTACAATGTCAAAACTATGTCGGCCGGAACTGTGTTACTTCTTGGCTTCAAGGTAAAGAGTCCTTTCTGTCCTGTGTTGCTTGTTTCCACTTTCAGCCACACACAAGACCTATCTGTTAATTTTGCCTCTCTTGACAAGACTGTATACTCTTCAGTGGATGTCAGGTTTAATACAAGTCAATAGTGCTCTTTCATCATGGATGAGGCAAACAGCGTACTAGGCTAAATTAGGGGGAGTAGGGCCAGCATATCAAGGAAAGTTTATTCCGCTCTGTCTCATGCTGGTGAAACCACAAATGGATCCAGGTTTGGATTCCCAATTGAAAGAGAGATGCTGAGAAACTGGAGAGGGTGTTCAGGGAGCTCCGAGATGGTCAGCGTCCGGAGCCCACAACTACATGGAGAGGTCGAGGGAGCTGGGCTTGTTCAGTCTGGCAGAGGAGGCTAGACAGGGAGCTAACAGCCACCCACATCTGCTTGAAAGGATGTTACAAAGGCAAAAGAGCCAAACTCTTCTCGACAGTGGCAAGCACTGTGGCTAGTGGCCACAAATTGTGTCTTGGGAGGCTCAGGTTGGACGTTAGCCTCCCAGTAATTAAGTTTTTCTTAGCTCTTTCACCCATCCCCAGAGAGGCTCTAGAATCTCATGCTCCAGGGATTTGCAAGACACAGCTGGACAAAGCTGTGGTTGACCTGATCTAGTGCTGGGTTTGAGACGTGGGACTACAGACCTCCAGATACCCCTTCCAAACAAGGTTTCTGTCCTCTCCTCCCTTATCTGTCAAAGTTGTTGCATATCAAAATAGTTTGTTCTTGCTTTTCCCCTGCTTTTTCCGTAGCTCTTTTAGTCTCTGTGCACCAATTCTACTCAGCCCCCTCAGTCTACAAAATACTGGTCTTAAATTGTGTTTTTGAATGCGTCAGTGGGGAGTACATTTAGCCACCTCATCTTTTCTATCATCAGACTTCTTCAGACTTACTCTTTGTCCTCAAAAGGGGGTTGCACTTGTCTGTCGTAGCTTCTCAATGACATATACTTCTGCTCTTACCTTCTGCCTTCACTCCTTGAGTCTTAGATTTCCCCTCTTCCCTTCCTTGTGACTTTCTGGAGTGCCAGATAGGATTTATTCTTTTATATTGATGTTAGTCTGAACACAGCAGTCCTCTGAGCCCTTGAATCACTATCTATTTTCAAGATCTTAGATTTGAAAGCCTTTATAGCATATAAGCATGCTTGTCTATACAGTTTAGTGCACAACACTTGCAGATTTCATTGCAACTGGATTCTCTAGTTGTGTATCCAAATCTGAGGTTGTTGCAGGGTTTGATTCCAGGTAGGTTCAATTCTCTTGTTTCCTCAACTTTTTCTTTTTTGGATTTCTGTAGATATGCTTGAATCTGGGCAGACAGTGGTTTTCAAGCTATGTTGTAGGCTTACACAAAAATGAAATGAATAAGTCTCTCAGTTATAGTAGCAAGAAATGCTGCAGCAGTTAGTACCGTAACTGAGGATTACAATGTCATCCCTGAAGTTCCTTTATTAGCATTTGAAACAATTAAAAAAGGGGCCCTGCCATTGCTGACTGATGCCAGTCCTGCCAGCTTAAAACATGCGGTTCACAGCAAAACCTCCTTGCGCCTTTGTCCAGCTGTGGGTGTGAGTCCTCAGGATGAGAGCTAAGCATGAAACCATGGTTTATGTGGATATAAAATCACAACCTCTGTGTCTACAAATGACTTAGTCCACAGCATCAGTCTTTCCCTGCCATTGCTAATGGGAATACTTGTCTGTCATCTTCTGTCCCAGAGCAGTTTTATGGTGCTGTTGTGATGTTTCAGGTATAGAGTTTGTTGCTGCCCTAACCCTTCTTCTGTTTGTACAGCCAGTTTCACCACAGGGCAATGTAAGCAGCACTGAGCCTTTTTGACATTCTCACTGTAAATTACTAAAATCCAACTCCCTGCATGTGTCGTCCTCTTATTCTTTTTACTTATAAGTGTCATAATTGTGATTTGTAAAAGTCATTTCAGTGAACACTTAAACACAGTGAAACTGTCTGTCTGTTTTATTGAGATTGTTAGTTCCCTGAGACAGGAATGGTGTTCTCTTCCTGTATGACACCAAATAGAAGGTCTATGCGTAGCGATTGATAATGATACAATTCATATTGCAATTTATTTTTTTTCTCTTTCTGCAGCCCCAGGCTGTCCAAACTTCCTGGTTGGGTTTTGAAAGATGGAAGCACATTTCTCGACAAGGTACTATACTGATGGTTAGAATTTTCTTGCCATGCAAAAAGCTACCTGACAGGTTAGGAGCGTGCACTGCAGGAACGATACTTCCATGCTGACTCATCGCAAAGGTTTCTATGTGTACCCTTACCAGCCATGATGTCCTTGTAGAGCAGAACATTTTGAAACAAAATGCTAATAGCAACTCTGAGGCTTTCAGTCTGCAGAGATAGCCTAGCTTTTTAAAAAATCCTTTTAAAATGCAGAAATCATCAGTATGAATATTTCCTTATTTCATGGAGCTCCATAAATAATAGTGCTTTGCCTTCTTAGAGTGCCTTTTATTCAACAGTCTCACTTTTCTGATACTGAAGCTGCATAGCATGCTTATAAATGAGGTTGGTATCATACCATTTTTTAGGCAGGAGAACTATGAGAAAGTGAATGGTTTGCCCATGGGAGGTCTCTTGCAGAGGAAAAGCATGTCTTTGGCCTCTGAAATCAACACGTGTTCTGCTGCTGGACGTAGCAGGGAGGATATTATCTCCAGCCTCCTAATTCTAAGACGCAGGCCTTACTCAACTACATGAGAGACACAGAATTTTTCTTTTTTCCCCTCTTTTCATTCCATTAGTTTTGTAGGCAGAATTTATCTGGGGCTTCAACCAAAACTAGGCGCTGCAGCGTCCAGCTTGATCTGTCGTAGGGGAACAATGAACACAAAAATATGTCAGATGTTAGTAAAATAGACAGGTACATTTCAAATGTGTGCAGTGATAGGTATCAGTAGAGAAAATACTGTTTTAATAGACTGTTCTCTGACTACGTGAACATTAAAGGAAAACAGTAATAATAGTTGCTTTTGTAGGGGACTTTGAGGTGGACAAAATGGATTGATCTGATTTTTACAGACAAGGGAGCTGAAGATCACAGATTAAAGACCTGATTTTTCTTCTCATTGGAGACAAAAGAAACTGTACAGGCAGCATTTCTGTTAGTAAAATAGTAACAGCTCTATTCAGAGCACTTGCCAACTGGCAATCGCAGAGCTACAGAGGCTCAGTGACAGGAATGGAGTTACCCAGTTGGAATTCCCTGGAATTTGTTTCTCCTGAACCCCAACCTTGGTCTCAGACTTTGGAGAGCTTTGGGCTCCGTTCTGTCCAAAGAACAGACAGGCTGTCAGGATATTTTTATATGTGATGTATTTACATTTCTGTGGTACTGCTGCTGCAGTGTGTGCTCAGGAGAAATCTTCAAACTCACATAGCATCAATGGAAATCATGTGTTAAAAATTCAAAGGCAGCATCTCCTACCTTCACCTTGACCATTGTAACTGCTTGGAATGGTAAATTCTTTGACCCGTGCTGGAAAAAGGCAAGGGAAGGAGTCAAAGGGGGATGTTTTATCATGTCGGGTGGACATTCCTGTTATAGCACTCTCTGGATGACAGTTATAAAACTTAAGTCCTGGAGAGGCATTGAAATTTGCTGCGATTTAGTTTTAATCATTTTGAACTCCCTTGAGATGAGGTTAGGAGACTTCTGCCACTAGATGTAATTGCTCATTCGTTATTAGTTGGCAGGTGCACAGTAATTATTAAGAATTGGATTCAATCTTTAATTCTGTCAGTCTGAAGCTGGCTGAGACCACTCACTTTGGGACAAGCAAGAGAAGCATCCACGAGAGAAGGCAGAGTGGGTGGTAGGTAGCCTGTGAGGTGCATTAGGACTAGAGTCGGGAATATTTTTGTTCCATACATAATCCTGAAGAATGTGACTTTTCATGTGACAAAGATTTCTGGTGTCAGCCTTGAAAAAAATAGGAAGAAAATAGAGGACTAGAGATCCAGTAGAGATAAATCTAACAAAAAAAGTGCCACGTGGGGCTTAGATCCCCAAAAGATGTTTCGTCAAATGCTCTGAGATAGAGGCTAAAAATTGTATTGTGCTCCTAATAAGACAGAAACGGTTTGATGTTATTGGGAACCAAAACTAAATTCCAGACTTGTAAGATAGCCAGGGCACTATAATGGTGCTGTGCACACCTTCCAGTCAGGAGAGCAGCAGTTCCAAGCAGAGTGGTCTTCATGACCCGCTTTTCAGTTCATACTTCGGATACTTATAGCTGAAGTCAACTTGTATTGTTACAGATTTCCCAGCCAACACAACTGCAGTTGGAAAGAGCAGGGAAAACACAGCTCCATAGGACAGCCACTCCTTCACGGCCCCAGAAAAAACAGCGGGTGATTACCAGGGTCTCTTTCCTTCCCTGCCAGAGTGCTGTCTCTGTTCCTCCAAACAAGGATCAGATCCCTTGAAGTGCCAAGCAGCCTCATCTCACATGAGAGCAATTTCACCAGATCTGCTTACAGCAAATTGTATCTAGAAGGGGGATAAACATAATGTAGTAACGGGCTGGAAATTACCTGTGATCAAGAAAAGGTTTTAAAAGTGCAAAAGCTGCTGTGTTGGAGTAACATTGCCGTGTATTTTTGTGTCTTCTCTGTTGATGTGCTTTTCTCACAGGAACTAAAGGAATGCTCTGGCCATGTGTTTGTAGACTCTGTGCCTGAGTTCTGTTTACCAGAGGTGAGTTGATTCAAAGCTTTACTGAAAAATCTGACTCCATTCAGTCATGTGGGAGAACCTTGCTAAATTATCATTATCCAATTCATGCTAATTTATTACTACGCAGTAAATAATACTACTAAAACCTCTGTGTTATTAAGGTGCCTCTAGTATCTATGACTGGCAAAAGGATGGAAACAGCCCTTTTCAACAATGGTTTGGGGAGATCTGGAAGGTCTCCTTGACCAGATCAGTATCTCACAGAAGAATAAGACTTAACTGTCCCTTTTTATGGGCCTTCCAAAGACAGTATGACTGAGCTGGACTCGATTATGACAGGATAAATGTGCTGATCTTGGTAAGGGCAGTGAACGAAGGCAAGGAAAGCTGCTTGTCCCTAACCACTGATGCATGACCTGCCTAGTCGTGTGCCCTGGGAAGCTGAGCGTGTGGTCAAGCCACTGTTTGATTCTGCTGGGCTACAGTCAGATGTGCTGTTCTGCCGGCAGCAAATTCAGGTTAAGTTTTGCTGCTGCCTTGGCTATTCATTACTGCCTCTTTGAGAGAAGAACTGTACCTTCACATCCACTGGCATAACTGCGAGTAGCTGATTCTCAAGCTGTTTTTTGCAATACCTGGGTTTTAGAAAAAAAGAAAGCAAGACCATTGAAAATATTTGAATTAACTGGGCTTACCTGACTGATCAGATTAACGGTGTATGCAGGAGAACTGAAGAAATAAAAAGCTGAGTAGAATGGTGGGGAATAGTCTGGGAGTAGTATCCTCTTTCCTCAGCTGTGTTCGGACTGTGATAACATCAGTTCTTTCATTTCATGTTGGGATGTTTTCTTTGTCTTTCAAAGATGGAGAGGATTGCTTTTGGGCAGCAATTTTTTTTTTTTCCCTTCTGCCTGACCTTGTTGACAGGAAGTACAAAATACTCCTGGAAGGTTGTTGTCAGCTTGCTGGGGTTCTGGCAATAGCGTTGATTCCATGAAACTCACCTCTTGCAGCTTCTGACTCTTGTCATCTTGATTCTTCGAAGCAAGTTGGCAGCTCTGGTACTAGTTTTGGCAAGTGATATCAACAGATCTGAGTGCAATTGCTTGTTTTCCCTAACAGGGATGGATATAATCCAATCACACAAAAAAACCCCTAATAATTCTAGGTTCTTGTGTGCTTTCTGGTTACTGTCCTGTGGAAGGGGGGGATATAGGAAGCATTTGTATGCCTAGAAAGTGCCATTATGTCCCAGATCTTGGGAAGGATGGAGTTTACTTTCTGGATTCCCTTTGAATTGAGACCATGCACAGGAATGGTGATCTGCTAGGGTTTAGAGTGCTTCAGTTAGGCTTTCTGGTTTTGTTGGGTTGGACAATACACACATGTGTTGCTCTTAATATGAGTGATGGGGAGTTGCTGCTTCATTATACCAGTGTCATGACTGAATCTAACTCTGTTTTCCATCAGTCCGTGTTACAACTAGAAGACAGCAACCAGCTGCACGTGTCACCATTGTAGGGACTTTACAAATGGGCTCTTAAATGTTTTGGTTCCCAAAGTTCCCAACAGATGCCAAGTCTCCTGTGCGAGTGCTAGGAACAGATCCTCTAGCGATACACAGCTCGCATCTCTAGCTTCGCAGGCTCCCCTGTGTGGAGGATGGTTCAGATGTCATGGCCAGCCAAACGCGTCAGCAGAAATATTGCTGGTGTTTGGCAGCACACTATAAGAAGCAGTTTGCGTGAAACAGGCTTTGTCGTCGTCTTTTCTCCTTCCACATCACTTTTGAAGACACTTGTCTGCAAAAGCAGTTAGTTTGAGAATCATGGTATCACTTCCAGGAACACCATTGCCAAAGAAAGCCAAGCTTTGAATGTAATCCAGAAGCCACAAGGTGATAAGAGGCTGTGTCAGCAGCAGAGTACACTTCCACATGTCAGAGTGCAGGGTGCAGCCCTCTGTTTGGCAACCTTCTGGTCTCTCTCGTTCCACATTCAGGAAACATTTTTAAACCTCTGCAGTTCATAGGCACTTTTAGTGAGATTGCCGCAAGTCCCAGGGAAGATTTTACTTTGGTTCGGTTTTGACACCCTTTTCATCTTATTAGTAAATGCTTCTAGGATGCCGAGACGTGGGACGCTTAAGCTTGGAAAGTGGTAGTCTGTATCCTGCTGATGGCTGGCTGGGCTGGGATTCAGCTCAGGGCTGAGTGACGCCCCATTTCATTCTGTACGGTCCTGACACGGCTGAAAACCAAGCCGTGAAGGGCCAGTTTGGTAGGAGCAGGCGTCAGCAGACTCTGAT